CTGGAAGTCCCTAACTTTCAGAAAGAATGAAACACATCATTCCTGCCTACAGAAAGACTGAGGAAAGGGACCTGAAAAGCTTTCAAATGCATACAAATCCTGCTGCAAAGAACAGGAAACAATCTCTTTTTCACAGTTAGAGTGAGGAGGACAAGAAGACACAGGCCTAAACTGTTTTTAGGAAAAACTTGTTAGACATCAGAAAAACTCTCAAATGCCAAGGATAATGTTGCAAAATATACCACCTATGGAAGTTATGGGCATTTACAACTGGAGGTTTTGAATAATAGGTTAAAAAAACATCTTTGGTGGAATAGTTTAGATATAGCTGACACTGCCTATGGAGGAAGAAGAGGGAGCCCGGATTAAATTATTTTAGATGCCTCCCAGCCCAAATTTTCTATGATTTTACTGTAGACAAGTTATCCCTACATCTACCTGCTTAATTTTCCCTTTGTGTAGCTCAGCAGCTTGATCTCGTGGAAAGGAGCACATAGCAACCCTGAGGCGCAAGAGACTTTATTTGGGATAAAGTCATAAGTAGTTGGGGAATTGGGGAGCAATTTCTTTATTATGAATGTGTACACATATGAGTGCACTTTCTTACCACCAAAGCCAATGTCAATAGGTAGAATAGTATCAAAGGACTTGAATATTCATCATAATTTTCATTTCGCAAATGGGAAATGCAAAGCACAAAGGTCTGAACCACCTCTACTGACAAAGCAAGTTGTCAAAATGAGCCCGAGAAATGGATTTCCTGGTTCCTCAAGTGACCTATCTGATGGACTATGCACTCCTCCTGCTCTTGCTTGCTCTCCCTGCCTTGCCTCCCTTCCCCCAGCAAGCCATACAAGACTACAAGAACTGCAGCATTTCCTCATAAAAGTCTTGCCTGCAGCTGGGGGAAGTGAGACACTACAATAGTGTCGGTAACCTGCTGTAACAAGAACACGCATCACAAAGATGATCATTACCACGGGGAAAAAAATAACAACTAAAGGATTTGCACCTTGCAGAGCTGTTCCTGGGTTGTTAATCCCCATCTCCTTTCTTTAACTTGCCTTTTTTCTGGCTAACCTTTTACAGAAAGACTCTATTCCTCTACCAAGTGATTAACTATAAAAATACAAAAGAGAAGACAGAATAAAGGACATACTATTGATAAAGAACAGAATTGTTCTTTATACTAGTGCAGACGAATTCACAAGCCTTTGCAAGTGAAGTGTTGCTCCAGCCCACTGTGCAAAAGGAGCAGTCTAGCTCAGCATTTGCTGGCAGCTTTCCTAAGGCTGCTGTAACTTTAGCTTGTAGGAAATCAGAATCAGAGCCTAAGATTCACAGCAAAGTATTATAAAGCCAGTGCCGGTCTTTCTGCACTACTCCTTACCAGTCTGCATAAGCTCACTTCCATTTTCTATGTGAGAGTGTCGGAACCAAAGCAGGACCCACACTTGAATCATCCACAGGAGGTCCTGCCTCTCACAACTGACTGTGCTGAGACACACCAGGCTCCAGATTAATTTTGCATTGATTTGCAGAAACTCTGCTAGGCTCTAGGCCCCATACATAGATCAAACATTTGGATTCATCATTACCAATAAGACTAAACAAAAACTAAAAGAAAGAAATTAAAGAGTAAGAATAATTAATTAAAAATACATCAGGAATGCAAAAGACAGAAGTGTCTCCTGACAGAATAAAACCCAATGTTTTTGGTCAACTGGTAATTTCCAAAAAAACAAACCAAAACAAAAAATTCCCAACAAAACAAACAAACAAAAAAACCCAACCCATTCCTGCATCACTGGAATAAATATAATCAAATTATTTATATGCTTAGGTATTTCCTAGCTTGTTCAAATGGTATATTTAATTTCTGATTTATAAATCAAGGGATATTGCTCACTGCCATATGATGCATTCCACTGGGTCTCAAAGTCTTTAGCAGATCCACACCCGTGCGTACTTTCTCCTGATGGTTTCACATTCACGTTCATCAACACTCAGCAAGAACCATAAACAAAGCCCTTTCTCAGATGCACACATGCAGTTCCCATTGACTTGGCTGGATTTTCAGCTGACTTCAATCAGAACTCTGTGGATGCAGAATGGCAGAACTTGGCTCCGCGCATTTAATAAAATTACATCACTAGATACCTTATAAATGAAGGACAATGCAGGCCATACTGAAAAATAATATAAACTGAAAACCCAAAACTGTAGCCAAATAAGTTCAAATTTCAGCCAGGTTTTCCCAGAACAATAAAAAGGGTGCACATTTTAGGCAAGATGAAACTAAATCCCTGTAATATTTGATTTACCAGAGTGTGCTCTGCCTCTTTTAGCAGGACAAAACGAGAAAGCTGGCTATCTACAGAAGGCAATAACCTTATTGTTTTAGGTATAGCAGTGATATTGGCATACGAAAGTTAAAGGTCAAGTTACAAGCTGTGATGTGCTAAGTCATTATCTGCATCTGTATCCATGCTCCATGAGCTATGAAGCTCATTGCAAGTGAATTTAAAGTGTAGAATACCATAGCAGAAGAAGTAATTAATCTTTATATTAATAACTAATATTATTTTTTAATCTACTGTAATAGTGGTATTTTAAAGATACTAGAGTATCGATCTTAAATCCTTCAACCCTCTTTCCCACCTGGTCAAAAGAACACCGTAACAAAAATCCTACACAAGTCAGGCAAAGCAGTTCCCTTCCAAATTTCAAATGACATTTCCCAACACAGTTTCTGCCAGGTACATTAGCTAATGCGCTCTAAGCAACGCAATGCCACGTGCTTTCTCCAAATTTCTTCCCTTTATTTTACTTGTACTCATTCCATGATGTAATAAACTGTATCTTTTTACTGTATCTTTAAAAATGTCTACCTACTAGGATAAAGAATGTTCTGACTTCTAAAAATCCAGCTACCAGCAGGCTTCCTTACACTTTCTGTTTGTCTGACAAGCACTTGTTAGCCTGCAATTACAAGTTTATGCATAGAAGTACTCAGGGATGGAAATCACAGAGGGGGCTTGATGTTCATATTTAGTTTTCTCCCCTCTAAGCAGGAACATCTCTGATGATTTTCACACTTAAATAGCAGAACAGATTTTATGAATCACTTTTTCTTCCTAGTTGGAACAACCCTTATTCCCAATTGCATTATAATACTGAGTCACTTTGCATCAAGTTGGTCATTACTGGCAAGCCAAGGCAGAGAGAAGTGGACAAAATGCTCTGAAGCTACATGAGAGATAGGAAATGTATCAGGCTGCTTCTTGAAACAAATTATTTAAAATCACAGAAAAAAATCACTACAATGAAACTCACATAAAGAAAAACTATTTTATAATTATTGACAACATCCAGCAAACTAATACTGACAGTCAAAGAGATCTGTAAAGACTTCTTCTTTCTCCTTTCTTTTTCTTTTAATGAAACAAGGTCTAGCCTGATACAAATGCTGAGTCGTACTGGTCATCCACGCCAGATTATCCAGTAAATTAAATAATTAATGTGGTAGAATCTGTTTCTTGGAAACAATAGCACTTTCAAATGAATAGTTATGAGATTTGGTGGGGCTCTGCTCTCTCCAAATCACCTCCCCTCCTAACATCCCATCCTGACACTGACAGCCTGTGAAGACACTCATTTGTCTCAGAACTCCTTCATGTAACTCCAGGTCTACTTGCTGTTGTCTCTGGTGGAGCATGAGTTTAGAGAATTTAGAGTGTGCTACAAAGAACAAAGCTGGTGCAAGGAGGGAGCTATTAATTTATTTTAAATGCATAGCGTGGCTATTTGATGATGTTAATAAAATTAAGTACCTTACACAATCATTTTTTCAAAAAAGTTGATTTTTAGAGAGTTAAGAAAGAAAGGTAAAAAACCCCACAAAAACCCACACAGGCCAAAACCTCTGCTTTTCTGCATGTCCTGTTTAAGCAATGACATATGAAGAACTTTACGTTCAAACAATTACCTAGTGCTTTAAATAGGACACTAAGGGAATAACATTTTAAAATGTATTCACACAGCCTAAAACTAATTCTACTCATGGGAATACCAGTGCAAAATCAGAGTAACTCCTCAGAGGTCAATTGAAGTACACCAGCACAAAATAAATGTGAGACAGAAGAGAATCAGGCCCCATCTACCTCTATTTTAACGCAGAGGTTGCAGATCATCTGCAATGACAGAGTGAACAACATAAATATAACTGACATCTATTCAATTGATCTCACATCCTATTCACAGCTCCAAATATAGGGCTGAAGAACAATGGTTCCAGGAAGAGAGGCAGAAACTCCGGTTCTAACCCGTTCACACATTCCAGTCTGCTAATACCTCTCTGACTTGAATTGCCTTCATCTCCCCACACTGCTAAATCGTTATAGCTTTGACATTGTCCCCCCACCTCCCGAAGAACAACTTCTCCTACAGCAAAATAAATTATACAATGCTGTAAGAGATGCATAGGAGAGAAGATAAATGCAAAAACTATGTGCAAACAGGAGATCCTAAAAACAAGCAAGAAAATCCCTATCTACCCTACCACACATATATAAAAGGCACTAGCAAATGAATTAATTATTTGGAAATCTAGCACTAAGAATGATATACGTGCAGGGGAAGACTAAAATATGAGACTATGTCAAAGTATGGTGACATTTGTGCTAATTTAAGTGGATCTGTAATTATTTCCTACAACTTCATGATGTCCTGAACCAGCTTTCCCCTCCCCTGCAAGGCTGATAAAAGGATCCTTGGCAACACACACTAAATATATTATTCAATGTATTGAATACTACCGAGAAAAAGCACTGAATTACACTGAAACAAAGAACATTAGGTACGAATATCACCACCTCCAGGGAAAGAGCACCTTAACCTACTTATCACATCAGTAAACGCAGGCATTCTTATACCTTATACCTCTGTTACCTGCACCTAATGGTATTCGCTATATTTAACAAAGTTAAGGTGAATTTTACCTCAAATCTACTTAGGCTCGAGCTCTTTGACCGAGACTTCTTGCGGAGATAGACTGAGAAGAACCGACGCACTGTGAACTTCTTCATATTCATGTCCATTGCCCTGTCCCAGCTGCGGCGCGGAGCACGAAGGAGCTGCGGCGCCGGCGGCGAAAGCTAGCGCATCCCGATTGCCCCCTATTTATATCCACAGGCAGGAGATCCTCCGAAGGGTCTGCTTCTGTTCATCAAGACAGGCAGAGCGAGACCTGCAAGAGGTACGCTGCCGGAGCCATGGGAGCCCAGAGCCAGATGCTCGCTGCTCGGAGCATAAAGGCGTTATACTCCCGACTCGCTTCCCACTGTTTACATTTCGGTGAGGCGAGCCCAACTCTCTCCCCGCTGCCTCTCCCCCTTGCCTTAGGTCCTACTACACCCAATCAGGCTCCGCTCTGGCTGCACGCAGAATCAGCGCCGGCAGATGACAGCTCCTGCGTCCCAGGCGTAGCAGGTTTGAGACAAATACTAGATGTGTCTATTGCTTTTGCACTCCCTCTCCTCTCAGTCAGGCTCTTTCAATTTCCTGCTTTCTGAATCACATGGGGAATAGGCACATGCTGCACTTCTGTTTTTAGCTCAGAATTCAGACGCTGCTATAATTACTGAGGGCTGTGGTGGTCAGATCTGAGCAGAAATCAGCTCCCTCGTGAGAGTCGCTCCTGGAAGAAAGCTGAAAGACGTCGTGCCCCCACAGCCAGAGTAGAAGAGTCTGAACCTCCTTTTATTATGGGGAGTATGCAAAATAACATTTCATCCCCTGCCCCCACTCCAAGCCCCCAGAATGGAAAAGCTTAACACCCTGTTCACAATTACCCACCCGCTTTACATTGAAATACCTAACACTGCCACTATTCTGAAAATAGAAAGCACAATCTAAATGGTAAGTATTACTATTCTTATTGTACTACAGCAGGGAGCTACAGCCCCTCTAGGAGTTTAAATATGTACATCTATTTACAGGCTGTAATTTTGAGCTCCTAACTATACAGGCAAGCATGCAGACTTATAGCTGCACCCCCACGTCCCCTAAATGAGATCACATTTTTCAGCTTTTCTTTAAAAACTAATAAATCTCACTGTGATCCAGAGACCAAAGAGCTTTCTCTGCCTGCTGCACACAGCTCAAACTCCTTGTCCATGGCAATCTTTCCTTTCTGACTACTAAGGAGTACCCAGATATGCCTTTCTTCCATAACCTCATATGGAAAGGGAATTACTCTGATGATTTATTAATGACTCAGATAAATAAGCCCAAGGAGAGCTGACACCACTACAGCATGAGAAGACACTCGGAGGTTAAATAACAATACCACGACAGTCCATCTGCTCTGAAAGGGATGCACTTTGCTTTAACTGCATGTTTGGTCTCTGCTCTAAACTACCTCGGTTGGTAATGCCTGTCACTATCTGCTTTGTTCACAGGTTCTCTGTCCCACTCTTCTGTAAAAAGCTCACCATAGTCTATATGTACCCCGAAAAGTATCAGTAAACAAACAAACAAATAAATAAACAAATAGACTTTTATGGTTTCATTTAAACTGTGTATTCTGTGATTCTGTGATTCTGGAAGCCCTTTGCCATTACAGTTGTGTTATTTCCCAGCTAAAAATCCTGGAGCACAGGCAACTGTCTCAAGACAAAACTCTGGTATCTATAGGCACACCAAAACCCTTTCCAGAAGCAAAACAATAATTAGTTGGTCAATGACAAAATTATTTGCTGATGCAGCCTCTCTAGTCAAGTTTTGTGTCTCACACCCCTGCTGCAGTAAAATCTGCAGTGACACAAAGGCCTCTGGCACTCACCTGATTACCTGACCTCTCACCTGTCCTGCCACACCACACAGCTGCTGCTTCTGTTCTGCCCTTTGCTTGGCAAAGAGGTGTCCTGATGTGGGCTGGACCAGGCTTTGTGCTGGCAAAGGCTTTTGGCAGCGTCACATGTTCCTACCTGTATAAGCCACTTGAGTTTTAAAAAGCCATCAGACAAGTTCAGGGTAGGTCCCTGAACCCTCCCCATCACAGCTGTATCCCTGGACACTGACATCTTTATTAACGCAGAGGAGTGGTAATTTCCCAGCTTTGAATGCACGGCACTGTGTGTAATAATAAGAGTATGTGAGTGCCTGTTACCATTTAGACCACTAGATTTATCACAACCTTCCTAGCCCATTACATACATAGTGATTTCACATACAAGGATGTGCAGTCACCATTAAATGTATCCGCACTATAATAAACTTCCAAGAAAATTACGCAGGCTGTGACTTAATACCTAACTATTAGGTACTCTTACTACATTCAGAATTTTGTTCTTTACCACAAAAATAATTTTTTAAAAATCAGTTACAATGTATTAACAATTAATTATGAACGTCAGAGCAAAAACTAGACTTGGATGCTAAAAGTTATACTGTAACATGAAGAGCATGCCTATGCTAGGAAGTAACTCTCTCACATCCCTGCCAAGACTCAGGCATGGAAACAGGCATGATCTTGCTTTCTTACTCTCCTTTCAGATAGGTGATTAGCTATTAAATACAGAAGGACAACCAACCACCAGTGCCAGGACATTGCTCCTCACCTACTGCGAAGCAGAGCAGCAGAGATATTTATTGCAAAGTTATCTTCCAAGTGCAAAAAGCAAAAGCAACTGAGATGCAAAAAGGTACATAAAAAAAGAATATAAATACAGAAATAAGAAAAAATACATAGGCATGTAAAACTAGCATATGGATAGGGATAGATATATGAAGAGAAAATTCTACTATAGTTCCATTCAGATGGCATGCTTCAAGACAATGACCTTAACTTTGCTTCAGAAGAATAAATGAGACTTCAAAAACATTAACTCAGACTTTCACATAGTCAGACAATATCCACTTCTCACAGTGATTCTAATAAAAACAAGCAAGCCAAAAAAATTAATTAGATTAAATTGGAACATGCAGAGTTATATTTATAAACATATAACTGCCAGATCAACCTACAACGTGAAAAATTAATTGCACTTAAAAATTCATGTTTGTAAATTATTTCTCAGCTCCCCTCTGAGCAACTTTAACTTCTGAGAAACGTGATGAAAAAAGAAAATCACCAAATGTCTCTGTTTAAGACAAAAATAAACAATAAAAATGGTGGAGCGTACATATGGCACATTGGAATCAACTGGTAATACTAATCTGTTTTCTGAAAGATACTTGTTAAAACTAAAATCATATTTGCTGTGACACACACACAAAAATAAATACAATACCACAGCTGCCCCTCCTCCCAGTTTACTTCAACTGGAAAAAGGCTTAAAAACACCCAAAGATCAAAAGCCTGTAGCTGGGATTCAAGACAAACTCTCCAACTGAAACCACTTGAAATTAGATATTACATAGTCTGGGTTGGAATTTTTAAAAGATAAATGGAGAATTCCCCATCAATATCTAATGAAAGCCAAAGGTTCTTTCCTCATGTGTACAGATGTACCATACCAAGAGCAGTAACAGTCTGAAGGATCCAGACTTAGAAAATTAACTTGGGACAGTGAAACAGCCTGCACGGAACCCAAGCAAGAAGGCTGACAGTAACAATGCCAGATGAGTCATCAATTTCCAAACGATACAACATGCAAATCCAAGACATCTACCACAAATTGGATGATATAATTACTGAGAGAAATTTTGTATTACTACATTACACAGCACATCAGGCCCCATGTCCAAATTGGACCTTCTCTTTTATTTTTTTTTTTTTAATGTGAATCAACAATTTATGAGCAAACTCAAAATGAATCTGCTACTTAAGCAAATTCAGTGATCACTGTAAAAGTAAAAACTATGAGTTGATAGTATCTTCCTTGGAAATGCAATCAGTATTACCTATCCTTCCTCAATGAGTTCATCAGAAAGCCAGAAAAAGATCCAGAGAGAAAAAAGAAAGCATCAGAAGCAGAGACACCATCGACAGCACAAATAAGATTAGGAGAACATGATATGCAAAGAAAGGGAAAACGAAACTCCCTCAATAGAGGCTCAAGAGACAATGCTACAGAAAAGGTGAATTACACAGTGTCATTTATGCTCTCATTAAGGAAAATCAGGAGCAAGAGCAGATGTTTCCAAGAGACACCAATCATCAGAATAAGGAACAACACTTTCCCCCAGGTGATTACATAGTATATGACTCTTTCAGTGATTGCTGTTTTCTCATCTTGAATGCTAGACAAATTGCCATATGGCTTTTGTTTCCTCAGTGAGTGAGGTGGCTATTTTTCTGATTGATGCTTCTTTAAATAATATATGATGAGCTTTGCCCAAAGAAATGCTTGGGTTTTGATCTCATTAGACCAGCATTCCAGTGTGAGTATCAGCCTTTCTGCTGCCATACATTAAGTACCTTGTCCTGCTTACTTACTTCACTAGAGTTTTCTCTCTCTCAAAAAAAGGTATACAGCCCTGCCAGCACTGTGAAATACAAGCAGTGATTTGCCACCTCAGACATTCTCACCAGCAGTGACAAGTGATCAGCAGTGTTGGCTGGATTAGGATGTAAGGGAATAGGCAGGAAAGAAAGTGCTTTTTCTCCCTTCTCTGACCTCCTGGCTGTGTATCACAAGCTTCAGTAATTTTCAACCTTTTCTATATATGAACTATGAGAAGCTTCTAGTCGAGGTGCAGGCCCCTTCAGTCATTTTGCAAATTAAAATCACTGCTCAGAAGGAAGAAGAAAGCAAAGTCATACAACTTCTCTGACTGGGTCCAATAAACTGGCAGGACACAGGCTCCTTGGACACAGTCTTCTCTATTCCCAAGAGCAACATATCAGCCCTACAATGCCAGTTTAATCTTGCACTTGTAATCTCAAGGCCTCAGGAGCCTGAGCAAAAGCAGAGTACCTCTTTTACCCACATATATGTAATGCCCTTGTTGTTAAAAGCATTATCCAACACACTGGCAATTATATAAAAAGCAACTAGTATAAATAGAACTGCAGTAACTACAGGAGAGAATGACTTGCTTTGAAAACACCCATTTTGCTCATTATGGTGATATTTCTGCACAGGACAACCCCAAGAATCACACCATGTGTCTGAGAGCATTGTCCAAATGCTGCTTGAACTCTGTCAGGCTTGGTGCTGTGACCACTTTCCTGTGGAGCCTGTTCCAGTGCCCAGCAACCCTCTGGGTGAAAAACCTTTTCCTAATCTAAACCTTCCCTGACAGAGCTTCATGACTTTTAGGTCTCCTTGGTGCAGTTGCCTAAAAATCTAATTCCTCAGTTTCTCCTAAGCACCCACTAGTCACATGATGATAAGTGTTACTTTCAGATATCAAATGAGCTACACTATGAGGACAACAGCTTGTTCTTACTTGTGCAGGGAGAACTGGGACTGTTGCAGAAATAATAGCTCCAGGACAAGAAGATAGTTTTTGCTTGAGTTTTCAGCAGATGAAAGATGTTTTAACTCTCACAAAAGCATCTTGTGTTAGTGCGTGAATGTCAGATCAGCAAGTTTCACAACTGCTGTATTGACT